CACTTTTCCTCACAATCACTGACTCTATCCAATCAACAACTGACAGATACTTTGTTTTTAAAGATTTGGCCAACACACTCTGTCCAGGGCCTCTTAGAACAGCATCTGAGGTACAGTGGCCTTCACTTCATATGGCTTTGCAGGCTGCCCAGGGGTCCTCAGCCCTGTCACCATGTAGAACCTTGGCAGACAAGGTCTTGGCTGCTCTGCCTTTCTCCAGGAGCACAGTTGTAACACTTCCTTGATGACCTCCTCCTCAAGGACAGTCATTGGCACACTCATCATGGAAGACAAGTCCAACACCTGTTAGTGGTTTTGGGGTTCTGATGGCAACATGTTCTTCATTTACAACTTTTCTTTCCAAAGTAAAGCCAACAGGCACTGCTGCTAGTGCCTGCAGATAGATATTCCTTCACTGAAGAGGCTCCGTTAACTTCTCAAGCCTCCTGAAGTTTCTAGACCACTTATGGTGACCACAAGTTGGCCAGGGGCTCAGATGCAGGCAACTGTCTCTTACTGAATACTATTAAAACAACGACCAGCTAAAAACAGAGACTCTTTCAGCCCTGAGCCTATGCCCTCCCCTCCCCAACTATCCACTGTGCTTTGGATCAAGGAAACCACACTCCACAGCCTCAACACAGATACTGAAGGCCTGTTCTCAACATCTTGTCAGACGTCAGAACGCTGGAGGAAGTCACCTTTCCACGAGCCCTCCTGGCTCCCTGGGGACCTCCTTAGAATTAAGTAGTTGAATAGCCCTGGGGTCTTACAGACTGTTCAGGTGGCACTGCTGCCCTTGTATACCCCAGAGCTCAGCAGAAAATTGCAGCTTCGTGGCCCTTAGCCACCATGTCCTTGTGGACATAGGATGGAGCCCAAGAAACAATGTACTTGGCCAAAACTTTGGCCTTCATCTTAGTACTAGACATCCTGGCCAACAAGTTGTCTTGACATTTATTATAAACTGCTGGGCCACTACCTAAAAATTATCCCCTTCAGGGTAAAATACTCTGAGCTCTCTTGCCTCATAGATACCCCAAATTAAATCAAAATCACACATGTCTGTGCATATACTGAGGCCAAACCACAAGGCCGTGCCAAGACACTCCTGATTCCTTTCAGGGTTACAGGCATTAGTAATAGTAACCTACACACGAGCTTCAGTTCTCAGAACACACAGTGCTCAAGGGCTGAAGGAAGAGGTATTCAAGAGAACTTTCCTGTCCCTGGTAACTGGCATGGCTGAGATACGTAGGGGCTTCGTCAAACGATGCCTTTCAGAGTCCAGCCCATGTATAACTAATTAGAACAAACTTAAAAAATGGGGGAAAAAATCCAGCCCATCAAAAGCTTGAGAGCATGGTCTTAAGCCAAATAAGGTCAGAAAGTCAAGGGTCATATGTTTTCTCTCATGTGTGGAAGCTAAAGAGAAAAAATGGGATAAATGGTGGGGGGACCACAAGAAAACAGAAGAGACAAGAGGAGTAGAGAAAGGAGATGAGGGTGGGAAAGGGGAGGGACTAGGGAATGGAACTGACCAAATCATGTTGTGTGCATATACAAATGAGTCACAATGAATCTGCTATCATATATATAATTATGATGAACCAATTAAAAACAATTTTTAAAGTTTAGCCCATCGAATAAATGCCTCAAAGAACTGTTTTCCATTAAGGCTTAGTCTATCTTTATAAATTTTCCATCTTGCTTCTATCCTATAAGCATAGCTAATGGAGAGCCCAAACTCTTCTGGGATCAAATAACTATCCATTGTTCCACTGGCCGAGTGGCTGCCCATCTGATGGGAGACCCATTTGAACCTCGACTTCCACCAAAAACAAAAACTAAAACTTGGTAAGAGCCAGTCCAGTCATTCTCTTAACTGCTGATCTTGTTGCTTGTGGTCTGGCTGCTTTCATCGGTTTACAATCCAGAAGATTGGCCTCCAAGGAAGCCATTGCTTTGGCCAAACATGGAAATGCTAAGACCCACTTCAATTCCAGTGGGCACCATGGAAAGGACACCCAAGTCCACATCCCAGGCTCTGAAGCTCACCACTGGGTAGGATGTCACCTCAGATTTCCTTAACATGATGTGAAGACATCCGAGTGATGAGATAACGCCACCATAGCAGCCCTCTGATGGTGAAGGCTACACTGACCAGGTGAAAAAAAAGCCAAGCCATATTCACCTTGGTATTCCTTCTGGTGCCTGCCTACTGTCCTGCACATACAGCAGCCACGGGACAATGGCTGAATCAATAGCAATCCATTTCCCTTGCCGTGAAGCTGTCGCTGCAGCTGTGGACTCCTGGTAAATTATTCTCTGCCCCTTTGATTGGATATGATGTCCCCACCCATAGCACCCCAGGCTGCCCTCCAACATTCCAACCAACCCCTGCATTGTCATTTATAAACTTATTATTTCCACCTTGTCTGTCTTCTCTTTGAAGACAAGGACTGTCACTCTTGACCGCATTTTCAGCCATCCAGTAACTGAGAGGTCTGGTCATAGCAGGTGCTTCATGAAGGTTCTTTGGACAAATGAAGGAATTAGCAAATAAAGGAATGACTGAGTAGCTCGTGTTAGAGTCCAGTCCTTTTCCTTATAGAACCAATCACGGTTCTATCCCCTGGGCCTTCCTGTCTTCTCCTAAACAGAACACTGATGTGTGGGTCCTTTGGCTCTGTGGGTTCATACACTTCTGTCTGGATGCCCATAGGAGACTTTTCAGAGATGTCTTCTGGGGTTTTTAACTAAACCTTTTCACCCGTTTATGCAATGGAAGCAACGTGGTCAGATGTCAGGGTGCGTGGCGACCCCCAGTCTGACCACCCAGAAAGAGGGTGCTCGTCTTCTCACATTTCCAGATTTCCAGTGGGGCAATTGGCAACTCATTGTAACACACATGGGCTTATTGAAAATTGAAAAGGGAGCCTCTCTAGAACCTTCTTCTGTCCCATGAGGTGGCCTAAAGGCAATTGCACAATTGTGTGTGTGTGTGTGTGTGTGTTGTGTGCCATGTGTGCACAATAGCGTGTGCATAGACCTGTAGGCACACATACCAGTGTGCAAGCTCAAGCATATGAGGGCATCCGTGTGCACACACAGGAAGGGGTGTGTGTGTCGTGAAAATTTTATCCAAAGGGTCAGACTTCTTTAAAGGATATTTGCTGTTTAAGAATGATTTCCTTACAAACAAAATTTCAGAAAAATCAGAAAGGGTGAAAAAGTTGATCTGTGTACATATTTATGGATGTATTTCTGGGTAATATATTTGTGTTTTGAAAAATCATTCTTATAAAGGTAAATGAATTTTAATAGATTTTTATGCTTTCATAACCAAAGCTATAATACCAATATTTTGCTGTATCTTAATTTTCTATAGAAGTAAAACTTCAGCACTGTGTCACATTGAATTTGCTGAACAGGAAATTCCGAAAGCTCATGACTAATAAGCACTTTCAATTTGGAAGCAAACCCTCTAGGGTGAGTCTAAGATGAGTTTTTTGGGGGGTTTTTTGTTTGTTTGTTTGCTTTTTTGCCAAACTGATTAGATTTTACTGATTTTTTTTTAGCCAATATCTCCATTTTCTCTAACAAGAGAAGTTTTCAATGCATAATATTTTATGCAATGAATTAATATTGCTTGAATGCAGCAACTCAGCATTTTCAGTCTGTTCACAAAGACACTTTTGAAGAAAGGATTGATTTTTGACAGCCTTCACTGGTGATATTGCAGGGTTAGGACTCAGCTAAGAACCCAAGCACACCCACTCATATAATCCCTGGTGACTGCTCCAACAGGGCCAACCCTCTAGGTCAAGAAACTATATGTAGTAACAAGCCTGAGAGTAAAATCAGCCTTGAACTTGAAATTGCATGCCAGTGACCACACCGGATGAGACACACATTCAGTTATCAATTGGTGTGATACCATGGTGGTAATCAATTGTGTTCATACCATTTAGACTCTCAAAAGAAAAGCTGTATTCATCATTTAAAACTCTCTGATAAAGAGAATAACATAACTCCAATCTAATTAAAAGACACACAAATTTAAAATGAAGAACATTTTCAAAATAACTCATAGGTGATAATATAATGTCTGTTTTCAAAGAACGCAGCTTAAGAAATTATTATGAACCCAAACTGTTCTGTTTCACTTGTTAATAGCTCAGCTCCAGTGATTAAAAAAAAAAAAAATCAGTGTGCACCCTAAATGAGGTGCTGAGATCATCCACAGGAGTTTAAGTCATGTAGTTCGGATAAAGTCACACAGTTCACCGAAATCATTCCCCACAGAGGTCATTCTTGTGTAAAACTGTACCTCTAGCTGGATGGCCAGAGTGGGATCCCTCATGCAACCTGGAAGGGAATATTTTCAATAGGAATTCCAGTATTAAGAACTCCCTCTTTGCCAGCTTCAGGGCCCACAGATTCCGCTACCCACGCAGTAACTTCAGATGGCTCAGTGAAAACGACTGAGAAACCAAGAAGCTTCAGCCACTTCTGTCAAGTATTCCCCAAGTATTTATTGAGACTGGCAGGTGGGAAGAGGACAGAATACAGACGATGAGAGTCCTGGTTTAAATTTGGAACTCCCCCTTTCCTACCTCGGTGAACTTGGGCAAGCCCTTGGATATTTCCAAGAGCCACTGTCTCCTTCTGTAAAATGGGAGGAGGCATCGAGAGCCCCCTCCTTGGGTGGTGGTGAGGAGGAGCAGGAATAGGCTCTTAGGAATGGGCTCAGGGCTTCACAGCTGTAATGTAGTTACAGTTAATTTATTCCCTTGGGATATCATTGTTGGGCGCTCGCCTTATCAAGGAGGTTTGCAAGGCTGAGCTCTGCCTCTATCCTGGCTGCTGGGTGGAAGGGGAGAGGCCTGCAGGAAGCATGTCTAATGGCACACGTGTAACCCCCTGCTCACTGGATTCCACCCAGCACTTTCCCTGTAGGAACTGGCTCCATCTGAGGGGGCGTGGCTGGGAGGAGTGTGAGCAAAGCTGCTCAAGTCTGAGTGCTGTAAAAACCCAGGCGTGGGCTCCTATAAATAGCCGACCCTGCCTTGCACTGCGTCTCAGAGGACTGCCAGCCTGCCCCCGCTCGCTCCCACACCTGGGTCGCCCTGGATCTGCATACTCAGAGCAAGGTAAGGGCCTGGCCCTCTTAAGACTTCACTATTGCCCCCAGTTCTCACCCCACATGAGGATCTGGCTTTTTTGAGTGTAGATCCCTTGATGGACAAGTAAGAGCCAAGTCCCAGGGCCCTGAGCAGCTTCATTGCTTTAGCCCAGACTCGGGTGATGGTCTCCCTTTCCTGACCGCAGAGGGTGGGCAAACCCCCAGGTGCAAATGAGATCGTAGCTGCTTCCTGGGGCTTTCCCTTTTTCAAACAAAATTCAATATGTGAAAAAAGAAAAAAAAAACCGCAAAACAAATTATCCGAATAATCCTGTCAGTATGGCCAAACCAGACTGTTGATAGTTTTCTGATTCCTCGCTAGTATTTTCTTTTTTTTTCTTTTTTCTTTTTTATTGTTGGTTGTTCAAAACATTACATAGTTCTTGATATATCATCTTTCACACTTTGCTTCAAGTGGGTTATGAACTCCCATTTTTAGCCCATATACAGATTGCAGAATCACATCAGTTACACATCCATTGATTTACATATTGCCATACTAGTGACTGTCATGTTCTGCTGCCTTTCCTATCCTCTACTATCCCCCCTCCCCTCCCCTTCCCTCCCCTCTTCTCTCTCTACCCCCTCTACTGACCTTCATTTCTCCCCCTTGTATTATTTTTCCCTTTCCCCTCATTTCCTCTTGTATGTTCTGAAGATCAGAGTTAAGGTGAAAGTGAGAAGTGACCAAGGAGGGGTGGGAGAAACGAAGTGAGGTGTGGTCTGGCCGGCCCCACCAGCTTTGTCACCGCCCGCTTCACCTGCCTGAGCCCTAACTGTCACAGCTGTTACTGTGAGTGACATACTAATAGCAATGGGGCTGGGTTCTTGTATGGATTAAACAGGATGAGAATCAAATGCTAGAACAATGCTTAGCACTTAGTGGGTGTCAGATAGACCTGGGATTATTTTAGGTGTGGCTTTTTTTTTTCTTTTCTTTTATTGTTCACCTGAAAAAATCCATGGAGTTTAGTCCAGCATTCAAGGTCATCCTCTGGATCCAAGGAATTTTTTTTTCAAAACACCTGGATTAAAGGTTTTGTGTCTGCCCAGCACTGTGCCACCACAGGGCTCCAGAAGTCAATGGGCACCACACTTGCCTTCAGATTGTGGTCTAAGCACACCTCTCCACCTGGGTTCACTCTGCCCTGTCATGTCCAATGACCTCCCACCTTCGTGCCTTTCCTGGGGATCCTCCTTCCTTCGGTAATATTCCCTCTACCCCAGAGCACCACCCAGCTCCATGTGTCAAACCCTGAGCAGGTTCAGCCTCTGAGTCAACATCACATTTTATGACATTTCTATGGCTCTTGCCACATCCTTTCTGATTTTGTGGCCATCTGTGTCTGTGCAGACTTGTGAGGTAGAAAGTCAGCACACACTGGAACTAAGGAAGGGTTTGATTATTCCATTCAACACCTTGATTTCCAGGTAAAGGACCTGAGACCCAGAGCGGGAGAGTGACTTGTCCAAGATCAAGTTGAGAACAGAATGAGACCAACTCCATGGTCAAGGCTATTTAAATCTCTCCAAGGGCAGGCTCTGAGCTCTTTAAGACCCGAGGTTTTCTCAGTCAGGGTGGTGTGATCAACAGCTAGGATAGTGCATGACCCATTGTTGGTGCTCAATTAATGCTTGTTGAATGAGTGACTGAAGGGTGGGGCAAGTGCAGGAGTAACTGAGTGAGTGGGAGAGTCAGGGAGGCTCTGAGAGTGGTGAGGGATGAAGAATGGTAACATTTTGCCACTCAAAGTCTCAGGTCAAGTGGAAGTGGGAGCAGACAGGCTACTCATCTAGTGATTTCAGGAGCCAGACAGATTTCTGGTCTCCTCCTAAAGTGGGCAGACATGGATCAGGGTGCAGGGAGGCCATGCCCAGCACTGAGCCCCTGCCTTTCATCCAACAGGTGCCTGCCCAGCTGAAGCCATGAAGATGCACAGCCTTGCCCTCCTCTCATTTCTCCTCCTGGCTGCTCAAGTGCTCTCAGCAAAGGTCAGAAATGGAACAAAGAACAGACGGGGCAGCATACCAGAAGGAGATCCATCAGTTCCTCTGGGCAAGGGCCAGAGTAAGCAGAGAAGCAGAACATCCAAGTCCATGACCAATGGCAAGTTTGCCACCAAAGATCAAGCTTCCTGCAGATGGTCAGTGACTGAGCAGGAGCTGGTCATCACCCTGAAAGTGGAGTGCACTCGAATGGACCAGGAGTTTTCTTGTGTCTTTGCCGGAAAGCCAACTAAATGCCTCAAGCTCAATAATGAGAAGGCCTATTGGAAACAAATTGTCCGGACGCTGCGCAAACAGAAGAACTTATGTGAGAACTCCAAGAGTGTCCTGAAGACCAGGGTGTGCAAAAAGCAGTTTCCAGAATCTAATCTCAAGTTGGTAAACTCCACTCTGTATGAGAACATGAAGCCCAGAAAGGAGAAAACAGAGCTGTCCCCCAAGGAGCATATTGAGGTCACCAGCCCTTCCGCCCTGGAGCCAAATGAGGTCAAAGAGAACATCCAGTCCAGCCCAGCAGAGACTCAGACTGTGGCCGTCAAAGGTCCGGAATGTATGGAGGACCCAGATGTGGTGAACCAGAGGAAGACTGCCCTGGAGTTCTGCGGGGACTCCTGGAGCTCCTTCTGCAACTTCTTCCTCACCATGTTTCAGAGCACGACATGTTAAGAGGTCAAAAGGGACAGTTGCATCCTAAGCGCCCACCCGCCCCTCCCCCATGGTGGAAAAGTCTCCAAGTTTCCCACAAGATATGAACTTTTGTGTTATGGAGCGCAGTTCAATATTTAAACAGTTTTTATACTTTTGTTTTTGTGTTCTGGAATTTGCTTTCTTTCCATTTCTTTGGATGTGAGTCTCAAAGACTGTGTATATCACTGTATTTCCATGGTCCACAAGGCTATGTGCATAGGAGCAGCAAAGACTTGCATTTGAACTGAGCAAACCTCAGTGAGATTTCAGTCTGAGGCATTTTCTGCCAAATTAACAAAGATAATAAAGATCTGGGTGTTCTCAGAAATACCTTCAGCCATTGTTTGGTTTCTATGCCTCTGGTTCCAAACAAGTTTATGGCTCGTTATTAACAGACCTCCCTATATGAATGGAAAAAGACCTAATGATGACTTCTAGTTCCACCTATCCCAAGCCATCCCCTCACAAGACCCAGTCCAGGTTGCCTCTTTACAGTTTTGTCCATTGGTCTGTGGTATTTAACGCTTTCTGAAATGTAATACCTAGGATCTCATTTTCAGTGGGCATTGAGTAATATGGCAAGTTCTCTCAGATGGTAAGAGGGGAGGTAGGACTGGAACCCAGGAGTTCTGGCAGCTAAACCACAGACTTGAAGACTCAAGTCAGAGCTGCCCGATCTCCCCGCTTCCCACCATATGCAGAATTCCTCCTCATGTGGAGCTTGTTTCTGGGTTGGGGGAGAAAGTCTTGGTTAAGTATGGTGCCCTGTGTTGAGGACTATAATGGAAAAAGGAGAAGGCTGAGTGGGAAACTGGAGAGGAGAGATAGAAACTGCTGCAAAATCTGGGGTTGACTATCTCAGAGGAGGGGATACTAGGACTTGGTTTTGGACAAAACTTTGGGAATGAAAGGGGACAGAGTGGAGGCATTTTAGTCATCTGACAGCACAGATGACATCAAAAAGATATGAACATTCCAGAAGCTGGGAAAGCTGGGTGGTTGGAGTGGGACGGGATACATGGAGGAGGTTGCTGTGCGCCATTTACACATTAGTAGGAAGGATCTGAAAGTGTGTTAGGAGTGAAGGAGAAAGCATAGACTTCCCCAACGCCCTGTCACCATTCCACCAAAGAGGGACAGGGAAGAGCCAGAGTTGGTTCAGAAACAAAAACTAAGGAACGCTGCTCTTTAGCATCCCGTGATGGAGTGGGGAGGGAGGGCAAGTGGGGGACAAGCAGAGCCCCTTATAGTCACCACCCACCAGAGCACCCACAGAGAATGGCCTCACAAAGGCATTGACTGTCACCACCCACACTATGAAACTGACGTGTGGGTCTCTCACCTGCTGCAGGTGGGGCTCTGCGCCACGCTCTTCCCTGCGTTAGGCATCCATCCATCCACTCGCTCACTCACTCACCTGCTCGTTCAACACAATTTAAGAAGCTCAGACTCCCACCAGGCGAGGTGCTTGACATGTGCAAAGCACAAAAGATGGATGCTTGCTCTCGTGGAACTGGCTGTGGGGAGAGTGGTGATAGACTCATCATCCCCCAAGAGTTAGGAAAAGCACAGCAAGAGTGGGTGAGAGCAAAAGAGAACAGGAGATTTAGGTGGGCTGGTCAGAAGTGACCTCTCTGTAGGTGACTTTTGAGACTGGACCTAACTGGAAGAATTGAGCCACGTGACTCTCCAGGATAAGTATATTTGAAACAGAGGAAGCTGTTAGAGCAAATGCCCTGAGATTACAATTAAATCCACTCATGCCCTCTTATAATATCTACTATATGCTTGGAATTCTTCTAGAAGCAGAAAATAGTAGCAAAGAAAATAGAAAAAAAAATTCATCTTCATGACATTTCCAGATTGCCAAGATTATGATGTCATTGTCAGATGGAGCCCAAGGTCTGACCTGTGAACCTTGCCACCAACTCCGGGAGAGTTGAACTGAACCCCAAGCTTCCCTCCAAACCTTCTAGCCACCACAAGGAGAGCTGTTTCCTTTTGAAGTGTTACGTTTTCTCAGCTCTGGGGCTCCCTACTCGATTCCTACAATTCAGTTCAACCCACCCCTGATGGGAAAAGACTGTGATCTCTTCCAGGGGTCACTAAATAGTGACAGGCTGGTCTGGGTAGGTGTCACGTTGGAGAGCCAGTCTGAAGTCTCTTATAGATCTGCTCCAGCCCATGAGGCTACTGGTTGTGTTCACCCATGGCTTGTAGCCACGGGCTGACGGGGAGGAGTTCTGCCCTCTGGTACGGTAGTCAGCTGAACCTGGGCTAGAGGTTGTCCTCTGTCTTTTGCTAACCAGGCTGTGGGCCAATTAATTAACCCTCTAATCACAAATCAGCATATCAGGACGATGGGTTAATGAGACCCAAATTTAAGGGTGGCTGGAAGACACACTGGTTGATGTCTAAAGCAACTATTACTGCCCCATCAGTCGTGTGGCAGTGTTCAATACAAGTGACCACTTGAAGTCCCCAGCACTGGACCATGCAGGGAGGTAAAGAATTTCCTAATAAAAACTCTAGGAGCTAACCCTTCCTTCCTTCCATCCTTCCTTCCTTCCATCCTTCCTTCCTTCCATCTTTCTTTTCTCTCTCTCTCTCTCTCTCTCTGTCTCTCTCTCTCTAATAAGTGGTGAGGAACGACCATTACCATCTGCCTACTGTTGTCCTTACTCTATTATTTAATTCTCTCAGCAACCTTGTCTGGCAGGATTTCTCATACTCATTTGCTAGATAAGGAAACTGAGGCTCCCAAAAGCTGTGAACTTGTCAGGGTCATGAAGCCATAGGTGGCCGCACCTACAAAGAGAAGCCCTGGTCTGGAGGCTCACAAACGCTTTGTCCTCTGAAGCTCATGATTTGCTTCACCTGATGAGAGCAGAGTGACATATGTGACCTCAGACATGAGTCAAACTGAAAGTGAACAGAATCCATGGGTCTCTTCTACACACACACACATCCCCTTGAATGTCCTTAAAAAGAGAAAGTTCCAGATCACTCCCATTTGTGCTTGGCCTTTTATCATAACCAGATTTTGAGTTTGAGGATATGTTTTAAAATCACATTAAAAAATAAATGAAGATGTCACAGTCTTTACAGCGTTTTTTGCTTGTTTGTTTGTTTTTTGAGAGAGAGAAACAGGGGGCGGGGGGGAGAGAAGAGAGGAGACCTTTCCAGTGGTTTCTACCTAACTTTCCACTATGTCTTTTCTCTATAAGAACTTCTTGAATGAGAAGTAGAGGTACAACTGTGTGTGTGTGTGTGTGTGTGTGTGTGTCTGTGTCTGTGTCTGTGTGTCTGTGTTCTTTGAGGTGGGAAGTTGTGGACAGATAAGAAGTGCTCAAGGCCAGCATCTCTGCATCCCTAAGCCTTCCAGACGGGGGACAGGAGAATGCCTCTCCTCCCTCACAGACTCTCATTTCAGCAGAGGAGGGCCTCTCCCTTCGGGCACCCCAGCTCCATGTGGCAACTCACAACCTCACTAGTGCTGACTTGAATCGCTGGAATCCAGAACATCTCACCTGGCCTCCTTCCCCCACCTCCTCCTAAACTGTCTTCAGCAGAACAAGCATAAGATAGCAAAGCATTCGGGGCTGACGGCTCACACACAGGGCAGGTTCAGCCCCGCTCCGTGCACTGGTCTTCACAATGTCTCATGCACCATGCTCAGCTGGAAATGTCCCCCTCCAAAATCCCAGGACACCACAAGCAGGAGAATGTTCATTAGGCTTCCTCCAGGTGAGGATCAGGATGGGGGCTGGGAGAAGACTCCCGACAGGCCGGCTTGGGACCTGGGAGTTTGGGTTGGGTCATCCAGGAGTCTTCAAAGAAGCTGAAGTGTGGATGAGGACAAGGCAACCGGAGCCTCTCTTGTCCACTGGCATTTGGTGCCTGGCCTGGCACGGGCATGGGGCATTTCCCACAAACACTGGCTGAGCAAATAGAAAAGAGAGATCGATGCATGGGCAGAGGTTATGGGCTTCGGAGTAAAGACCGAATGTGAGTTTCTAGTTGTACAACTTGGGGCAAGTCAGTTCATCTCAAGTTCCCTGGGTACAAAGTGGAGCTAGCAGCATGTCCCCAGTAAGAACCCTGCGTGACGTCTAAGGGTCCTGATACTCAGGGATCCTCATGAAGGGAGTTCGCCAGAACTGAGCGAATGAACGAGGCTGACAGAGGAGACCAGAGGCCATTTCCTAGGAAAGCTACACCCGTCTCAAGACAGGCCAAGAGCCTGCCTGTGAAGTGCGGCTGGCCTGCTCCTCTCACCTCCCAACCACCTCCCTCCACCCTCAGGAAGCCCCAACTCCTGCCAGGAACAGGGAGCTTTCCAGGACAGAGGAGGAGGTGCAGACATGGCTGGCCCTGCAGAGCAGCTTCACGACACCTCGACCCACCTCCAGGGCACCTCCGTGGGCTCCTCCAGGGCTACTTCGTCCTCCTCCTGTCACCTCTTCAGCTTGCGTGCCCTGGGCTGCCCCCCCCCCCACCGCCTGCTCCTTGTCACTGCTGCACACTGGCCACTCCCACTTTTACATGGCCAGCCAGACCTCTCCCCTTACTATCAGCTGCTCACCAACACCCTAGACACTGCCTGTGCCAAACACGCCTCGGATCGCCCCCTAGGGCCCCGCTGCTCCCATGTTTCTCCCAACTCAGTTCACGGCCACGTCCTTCCAGTTGCTCAGGTTACCTTCCTTCAGAGGTCACATTTGACACCTCATGGCCTCTTTCCAGTTCATCTGCATGGCCTGCCATCCCCACCTGCAAACTACATTCCAGAACATGAGGTAGGGCCACCACACCCAGCCCTGCCCCAACCTCTGCTGCCTGGACGGTAGCAATAGCATCTCCATGGGCCTCCCTGCCTCTGTCCTTGCCTCTTGCAGTCTATTCTCTCTAGCACAGCGGCCAGAGAAACCCTTTCCACTTTGATCACCTCCCCTCTCTGCTAGAAATCCTTCAATGGTTCATCACTTCACTCAGAGTAAACACTGAAGTAGTCTCACAAGGACTTCCAAAGCCATGCGACTCTATTCTGATGTGAACTTCTATGCCATAGCCCCTTGGTTACTGAGTTCCTTGTTCCTGAAACTCACCCAATACCCTCCCACCACAGGCCCTTTGCACTTGCTCTTCCCTGCACCAGGGAAGTCCTTTTACTCTGTTCTGATCTCTGCTTAACTGTCACTTTAGTTCCCACACTGCTTTATTTTTGCCCATCCCACTTGCCATCACTGAACATGACCTGCATTTCTCTGTGTCACTTGCTTGTTTATTTATAGACTGTCTCCTTCTGGAATATAAACTTCCTGACGGCAGAGGCTCTGCTTCCTCACTGGTAGCTTTGTCTACAATGCCTGGATCTCAGTACTTGCTTAACTGCTAAAAAAAAAAAAAACAAACAGAATTAAAACAAGAAATTTGTTTCAGTGCAGACAGTCTTTGACCCCAATTTCTCCTCTAGCAGTGTGATTGCATGGCTTACCTTTAATAAGAACCATTCACTTATCTAGAAAGTCGCATTCAAAAAATTCTTCCTTACACAAAACTCTCCACTTGGAATACAGTTGGTCAAAACTGTTAGTTGTTGTTATTATTCTTGGATGTCATGCTCTGCAAAGGGCACAGAGCTGCCTTCTCTGGGCCCATGACAGAGATAACAAGGTCTTCACCTTCTAACTTACCTACATTTGGTTATATGGACCCTCTCTCTTCATTGTTTCTATTCTGCTGATCTGATTAGAAAGATGGCTTTGATGTTAGGAAGATGGTTTGAAAAGATAAGAATTGAAGGAATTTGCCAAGGTCATGAAAGAGTCCTAGCCAGCAAAGGGGCTGGGAGAGAGTGAGGGCCACAGGGCAGGACACTGGCCTTGAATGACGGGGGTCCAGGGCTGAGCGGGCTCTTCTCTGGGAATGGGAAACAAAGGGCTCTGGCTCACTTCTGAGGGCCTGGGCCAGCTCTGCCTAGGAGGCTCAGAGCTCCCACCAAACTCTTAACGTGGCCTCCAAGTAAATTATGAAAGTGGGCACAGCTGTGTAATAGCAGACGGGTGGCATGGCACAAGAGCATGAGCTCCAACAACAGAGGTGTGGATTTGGATCCTGGGTCTGTGTGACCCTGGGCGCACTCCTCAACATCTCTGAGATTTGGCTTTGTTCATTGAACAAGTATAACTGAGTGCTTGCTGCCTGCTGGCTACAGGAGACAGTCTGATGGGCAAGAATAGGCAGTGTCCATGGAGAGGTCCTGCAGGCCAGCACCTGGCAATGCACACCTGTCACCTCATTGAAACCTCAAATCTCCCCCACCATAAAGAAGCTGAAGCCAAGAAAGTTAAGGATCTTGTCCAAGGTCACCAGTAAGTTCCAGAGAGGAAGTCGGGCCCAAGCACTGTGGCCCAGGGCCTGTGCCCTGCACACTACTGCACTTCCAAGAGGTTGGGAGCTACAGCATGATGGTGGGATGGGGCTGCAAGCCATGAGGTGTAATCAGAAAGGAGCACCAGGTGACCTTGAAGGAGAGGGGAGCAGCCATCAGAAGGTCAGAGAAGGAATCTCCAAGAGGCGATTACAGAGCTGAACATTCAGTGGGAGGGGGTTTGGAAAAACCAAGAGTTGGGATATAAAGGGGCCCAAGTGGAGCCAAAGAGGCTCGTGTAACAGATCTACTCTTGAGATGCCCCACTCACCCACTCACCCACTCACCCACTAACTGTGTGAGTTGATTAATCCATATATGTAGACGGAGCCCTAGTCTCAAAGGTCCCCCCCACCCGTCCCTCGTCTTCACATCTCATAATAGGAATTATATTGCAACATGAGTTTGGAGGGAACCAACCATCTTCACCAAACAGCACACTCTAAATGCAAACCAGTGAGCTTGTCTGTGACCAAACCAGTGACCAAAGAAAGGTCATTAAAGATAGTTTTGATTAAAACAGATTTTTACAAATATAGGCACTGCCTCCTGACCCTGGCTACCATGTACACTGTGACTCTGTGGTGACACTTGCTACCAGGTACCCTCAGAACTGGCTTCCAAAGTTAAGCAATGGCCCCCACTAACATCAACCAAGATGGAAGATGTTCCACCCATAGGAGGGTCCCTAGAGCACATAGGGTCCCCTAGTGAGAAGGTGCCACCGCCTTCTGCACCCACTTCTACTAGCTCAGGGCTCCAGGATCACCTTTCCTGAAACTAGCATGGGATTTGCTCTAGGCCAAGTACCTGCAGCCCCAGGGCAGGCTGGGATAAGGCCAGAACAGGTGACCCAGGACGCAGATGCATCACCGTGGCTGGAAAAGCTTGAGGCCAAACCCTTGAACTTGGGGAAACCAGGCCACACTGAGGACAGGGGAGGGTGCTCATCTTTCCAGAGCTGAAGGAGACGTGTGGGCTGCAGAGGACACATGGTCATAGCCAGCCTTCGTCAGGTGCTTCCTGCATGCAAGGGGCAATGGTGCCCAATCCTGGCTGCAGGTCAGAATCATCTGGGGAGCTTTAGAAAATGCCAGTGCCCAGTGTACTTCCAGAGCAGTTATAGTGGAACCCTGGGGGTGGACAGCTCAGTGACTCTTAAAGCACCAGTGACAGCAGGCAGCCTTGGCTGAGGTCCACTGCCAGGCACTGTCCCAGGGCTTCCCCTGCATCCTCTCGTTGCACCCCACAACCACCCTATCATCAAGTCTGTCCTACAGATAAGGAGCTGAGGGAGCTTGGACCCCTGCCAGTCTCACAGGGTTAACAGGGGAAGAGGCTGTAATCTCAATAGGCAGCCTATCCCCAGGGTCCAGGCTCTCAAACCTTCGTGGACCACCTGCCTGAGAAGTGGCACAGCAGAACCAAAAGAGCAGGGGCAAGCTTTGAAACCCACTCTGCCTGCTTCTGCCCGGAGCAACCTGGGAACCATCTCATTTCCCTAACCCTCTTAGCCTTCCTGTCCATACAGCTGGGGACCACCTCTGAGCACCAGGAGCAGTCAGTGACTGGTGTTCCTGCAGCTCCTTATACCCTTTCTGGCCCCCAGCAGGTGTGTGGTTATTTATCCCTGTCATTA